GAGTTCCAGCTACTTGGGAAGTTGAGGCAAGAGGATCACTTGAGTCCAGGAGTCTGAGGTTGCTATGAGCTATGATATCATGACACTCTACCCAGGGGGACAGAGTGAGACTCTGTGCCAAAAATAAATAAATAAACAAACTTGGGTTTTGGGGTTTTTTTATTGAGTTACAAGCGTTCTTTATGTGCTCTCTACAGAAGCTACTTATCAGATATAAGATTCACAAATATTTTCTCCCATCCTGCATCCTGTCTTTTCACGTCCTTGGTGAGCACACCTGTCTGGCCTCAGTTTTCAAGGCATGGTGTCTGCCAGGCTCTTCCCGTCTCACTCAGCCCAGCGCTCTTTGCTTCCTGGCCCTTCACTGGAGCCCTGAGCATGGGATGCTGACATCTGTTCAGGAGCAGGAGCCACAAACCCTGAATCTCCAATGCCTGCGACCCTGCCTGACACGAAACCAGAATTCAGTGATCACTTGTTCAACCAAACTAAAACAAACCTTGAGTCTGGAAACAATGATCATGGCCAGAACTGACCCAAGGAAGCCACAGAAAGACTCAGAGAATCTGGGTGTGGGAGGGAAACCAGGCTCTCGGTGTTTCTAGAAAGCGCCCTTCCTGTTTTGTTTTCACCTGTTCCAGCCCTAATGATCCTGTTGTTCCCACGAGGACAGGGCTGCAGGCACCTGTGAGGCCCAGCACACCACAGGCTACTTGGATCTCTTCTGAACAGCAAACCAAAATTTATGTGACCAAGCATTAACTTTAGGCATTCATTTGTTTATTATAAATCCTTTAACTTCTTTGGTGCCATCTAAGCGTAGCTTAAATCTACGGAAACCACATTATGATCACCCTTGCTATTTGTGCAGGAACGCGTCCCTGTGTTGGGTCAGCTGGAGGAGCAATGATCCTGTCCCTGTTTGTCCTAAACTTTTCTAAATTAAAGCAGTAAATAGGCTCAGCGCCTGTGGCTCAAGTGGCTAAGATGCCAGCCACATACACCTGAGCTGGTGGGTTTGAATCCAACCTGGGCCCGCCAAACAATGACAACTACAACCAAAAAATAGCCAGGCGTTGTGGCGGGCACCTATAGTCCCAGCTACTTGGGAGGCGGAGGCAGAAGAATCACTTGAGCCCAGGAGTTGGAGGTTGCTGTGAGCTGTGATGCCACA